GTAGACGGAATTAGGACGTTATTCAACAGTAATCAAGGTGGTTTGGATTAAGTGAGTAACAACGGACGACACCTCTATGGGACGTTCGTAGTTGACTGTTATAACTTGTCTTCACCGGACATCGTTACGACGACTCACTTGGTTTATCCGACACCATCCGAGTATTCAAGGATGAGTAATCAAAAGCCATTCGTTGTGGCGGTATAACAATTTGTAATCACGTATATTTTTCGACATCGGAAAACATCGGGTTTTCCGGGGAAATCAATACTACTCGCTCGGGATTTCTATAACTATAAGACAAAACATCCTTTTTATATATATATGTTTTGAAATCATTCATGCATCAACTTATGGATCTTCACACTTTGTTAAACTATTGTCTTTTCAGAAAATATCGGATTTTCTGGGTTTTACAAACTATACAAATCATTTTATTCACAACCTTGCTTATGAACTCACCAACATTTCATATGTTGACGTTTTTCCAAAATAACTTGTATTCTCAGGTAACAGATAAGCGGAAGGGTAATACCAAGTATGTTAGAATGTTTTGTTTTGAAAACTCTGAAACAATTTGTGTTATGAATGTGTAATATTTGAAACAATGTACGGGATGTAAACAATATCAGTTGTAATGTATTGATGCATGGTGATGTTTATGTTATGATTCATGTATATTCATTGTGATGATATTCAATTTAAGTCACGCGAGCCCCCGGACGTTTCCGCCGTCTGGTTTCGGGGGTGTGACAGCCTTATTCCATAGTTATGCGACCCTATAGTGAGCTCATTTTGCTTCGATGTTATATTGATATTGCCAAACTATTCAATGGTCTGAGGACACGCTAATCCATACACATAGAAGATACATCATTTTTCTTTGATAAAGGATTACATGGGTCGATTGAGGACATGGTGGTTTGTAGAGGTCCTTTTTTTGGAGACATCCAGTGGCAACTTAATTATGTATCCAACAGGTATGGTGATATGTGGTTGTACTCAGTGATATATGTTTCCTCTTATGCTTTTGCAGCCTCAAGTGTCCCAATCTTCAATTTTACAAGACCCAATCTAACGGGATAGTGGAATATATGGTGTGGATTTTATTATGTTTGTGCTTTGACGTGTTTTCGTGATCCAATTATGCTCTTCGACTTTAGCGGTTTCACTAATAAGGATACTGCCCCCCTGAAACCCGACATGCATTATCGAATTACCGTTTTAGTAAAATTGTTCAAGACATTGAAGTACACTTCGACATGACTGTTATACAGGAAAACGGTTTTCGAGTTTTTACGAGTACCACATACTCAGGATTTTCTTATGGAAATCCCTATAGATTGTCTTGGCCAATATATGTCACTAGTAGAGTATTGTACTATCCTTATGTAGCACCTCATGATTCCACTATTTCTAGTTGATGAGATATGCCCAGCTTGCTGCACGACATGATTGAACTCTTTTGGGGAGCACGTAGTACATTGTAAAGATTATGGGATTCAAGTACCGACACAATATGGTCAATGGTGTTCTTTTTTACGTACTTATGCATGGTAGGGTTTCTGCCATGAAAGAGGTACCAGTGAACTTCTTGATTTTCCTTTTAGAAGGAAGGTCAACACTTAGACTAGCTGACATTTTGGTTTTTGGATAGGTAGGAGGGAACATGCATATGTGGATCTAACAAGGTTTCCCCTCTTACGGACTTGAGGAGTTGGGTGTTTCATTGTAGGACAGACTACTTTTAAAGTTGTTTCATGCAAAGTGATAAATCATAGGGAAACATGCATCGAGAACCAACATGTATGTGTATCAATTGTGTTTGATACTTTTAGTTTCCTTACGCCAGTTATTGTAGAGCTTCTTAATAGAGTCCAACAAATCATGCATAGTAATGTTATGGGCCTAAGATCTATGAATGTAACTTTTAAAAGAACTAGTTTTGACATCTAGAAATGACTAAGAGCACTTTGATCTATAAGTTTCTTTTAAAAAAACTAATGCGAAAACTATAACCCAAGGTACTTTTAAATTTAATTACCAAATAAAAAACAATTTCCAAATCGAATCATAAATTCTAAAGGTCTAAATCATCGACAGTTTCTTTGCTATTTGTTGAACCTTATCCTCGAGTACCTTAGATCCTTCATCTTGGTGCCAACACATGCAACCATCATGGAGGTGCACCATCATCGTGTTGCAATCGCCCATACCCATCCATTGTGATTTTCAATTTTGCACAAGCCCTCCCTCTATCAAGCAACCCTAAGATGTATCGTGTTTGCTAGCTTAGTGTAACTCTCTTTTTCTTAAACTTAGAAAAAATAATTATAATGAAATAGAACACTATAATATCTCGTAAATAAAACACTATAACTTAGCAATCAAATATCTCATAAAGGAATGCTTTACATCTTTTGTTGTTTCTTGATTTGTTGTAATAAAATTGCAAATGTTAGATGTATTTATAGAGAGGCATTGAGTTTAGAGATTTCTTCTAACTTATATACTAGCAATAACTTTAGGTTGCATTACAACTTTCTAAAATATTCTATCTTAAGCTACTTACTACAAAATTTTAAACAATTATATTACTTTCATGATATTTTAGAAATATATATAAGCTTAGAATATCTCCAGTTAACCTTTAACCTTATAACGATTTATTACTTTTGCCGCATAATATTTTCACTAACTTTTATCTATCAAAAAGCTTTTATTAAATACTATCTTCAATAGTTTTTTTTTTTTTGAACTGACAAATCTAATCTACTCTTAAACTAACAGCACCTATTCCACCTATATCCACGACGGGACTTGAACCATCGACCTCAAAGAGGGAGGACACCTATCTTTAATAGTTAACTCCTTTAAAAGCCTTTTTTATATAAAATTAACTAATGTATCCTTTATCTATATTAAATATTTTATTAAGTCCCCTCATAATTTATCATTTTACTAACATATCTCATATTTTTTGGTATTTATCGGGTAATTTTTCTGAAGAAACTTGTAGGATAATTGTCACATATTTGTCATTTTAATAACATATGTCATTTATCTTTTTAGTCACTTAAAGCCAAAAAAGATAAAACTAAAAAAATAGCTTTGTCGGGTATTTTTTTCAAAACTATAAAGTAATAAAATTCTCACATATATAGTTAGTGAAATACTAAAACGATAAAATATTATATAACCGTAATGTTTTATAATATTTGAAAGTTTTGATGTTTTTAAAAAAATTATATAATGTTTTTATAAAATATATTCATATTTAGTTTGTTGATTAAATCAATTGATTAACTAATAACAAAAACTAATATCTAAATATAATTAAGATATAAAATAAGGTGCTATTAAATGTAGATATCAAATGCGACAAAACCTAAAAGAAAAAATTAAAGGGTTAAAGAAAAATAAGTGTTTGAATTGACCTCTCTAAACAATTTTCTTCTCCAATGGTAAAAACTTTTTCAAATAATAAAAAACTTTAGAAATAATCAAATAACCATCATTAAAGATGCTCTAGCCGTTATCACATTATGATCTTAAAAAATTAAGTTTGGCCACCTTAAAGTCCATTTGCATTTATATTAGAGTCAGGGAATGATTAACCAAACCCGCTAATTCAATCTGAACCCAACCCAAAATTAGTGAGTTGGGTTGAGATTTTCAACCCATATAAGTTAAATGGGTCAACCTCTTAACCCGTTTAATTAAAGAAGTTGGGTTGTGTAAAAATTATCAATCCGTTTTCAATCCGTCAACCCATTTAACTTTAATATATATTTAATTTAATAATTATTTGAATATTATCATGTATTAATCAAAGTATTAATTTATAAATAATAATATTGTATTATTATTTATATTTTAAAAAATACAATCATAATTCTCATTCTTTTTTCTAGCACCAACAATACTAGCTACTCTTCAAAATCACTTCGAAACTAAACATTTTTAATATTATTTGAAAATTTTATGTATTTGTGAATTAGGATTGTACTTTAGTCATACTTTGAAACTTTTTTTTTTAACGTTTTGAACTAATTTAAGTGGCGGAATCTTTAGTTAATTTATTTGTTTTTATTTTATTTTAAATAGGTTAACCCAAGTTTAACCAATTTTATATAGTAGGTTGGGTTGGAAACTACATAAACAAGTCAATATGATGACAACCTATTTATCTAAAGAGTTGGGTTGGGCTGAAAATATCGACCTATTTAAATAAACATGTCAACCTGATAACAACCTATTTATCTAAAAAGTTGGGTTGGACTGAAAATATAGACCTATTTAAATAAGCATGTTGGGTAGGTTTGAAAACTTCAATCCAATTAATAAAATGGTTGAACCCGAACCCAACCCAAATCGACTCATTGTCGGCTCTAGTTTATATGCTAAATGCTGATGATAAATTATTTTCGAAGATAAAATCTTTATATACTTTAACAAGAAGTGTCCATAGTGATTAAACTTAAATCTTATAAATATAATTCATCAAATATCATAAGTTGTAAAAGTAAAAATGATTAATAGCAAAAAATGGCAACATATTTTCATTTCTTCCTATTAATCGATTACACCTTAAATTCTAACCAATTCAACCATTTAACATTTTAACTGATTTGTAATCAACATCTTATAGGTTAAGCTTATATTTGACGTACTATCTGCAAGCTTATAAGATAACTAATAAAAAATAATGTTTGGTAAAACTAGCTCGAAGATATAAAATGATATAAAACATCATTTAGAAGAATATATTTTTTATAATTAATTAATGATATATTTGAAAAAATATATATAAAAACTCCTAAAAACCTAGTCAGCTTATAAGTTCATTTTTAGTCTACCAGAACATGACAACATAAAAAATGCTGAAAAATAAATTTGCTCATCAGCTAGCTGTGATCCACAAAACACGGCCTAAATGATATAATGAAGAGGGATTGGACACAATGGTTGACAATAAAACAGCAAATAACAATAACATAAAACGACCAAAACTGTTGTAAGAGTTGCTTTTCTCAAACAACTCCCACCTCTTACAATCACAAAGAAACCCCTTTATTGTAGGGGTATACAATAGTGTACATCAACAAATGAAACTCTAATATACAATTCTAGTATTCTACTCTACCTACACTACACTCAACCGAATAAGCAAACAAACAAACAACCCATCCGAGGTTGTTGCGTATTGTCACGCAGAAAAAATAAATAGCAACTTATGGCAAAGAATATATATTTATATATGACGAAATAATTATGTTAAGATGAAAGGATCGATTGCAATGCAAGTTGTTGCTGTGGCTGCAAGGTTGACCACGTGGATGCCAACGTGGCAGGAGGTAATGTCTGTTGAAGCTGTCTCAGGAGATTAATTATCCGGCTTACAGTTTGCTCTGACGCAAGCTCTTTTCCACCACATAATATCTATATACACCAATACCATAAAAAATTTATATTTTATTATTTAACTCTTAATTTCGATTAAATAAATAAATTCGATATAGGAAAGGAAACTAACCTCAGCAAAAATCGAAACAATTTTAGGAAGACACTGATTATTAGGCCCTAATATTTCCACGTCAGACCTGTACAAAAAAAAAAAAAAAAAAAAAAAAAGAGAATGACAATTGAATTTTACCAAAACACATTATAAAACATTAAAAAAAAAAGTATTTAATTACCTTTCTACCATGGAACAAAGAAGGTCATGGACGACTTTAGCCTCGATAAGATCTCCTTTTATTGGCAAACAGCTTAACCATGCGGGTATAACCTAAACGATATTTTCTTTTATAAAAAAATATCTACAAAAATATATATTAAAAAAACAATTTAAAAAAAAAGGAAAATACCTGAGCTGAATCTATAGTGTCGCGATGAAACTGACATACTTTTCCTAAAGCAGAAACCGCATTATCGTATGCCATTATATTATCAGGCTGGAGGGCATTTGGGTGTCTTATTACAAAATTCAGCCTTGAAAGAACCTCTGAAAAAGTCAATAAAAAAGTCAACAAGTCAATAAAAAGTCAAAATAGAATGGAAAGAGAAGGATTTGCAAGATCTAATTTACCTCCAACAAGAGGTTTAATTACTGAGCCACCATGTTCTGCACACACGCCAAGTCCATATACAGCTGCCTGAAAAAATAGTCAACAAGTCAACAAGGGTAAAATCGTAAATAAGAAATTATATACACAAAGTCTGACCTGTCGGATATCTGGATTCTCATCGTTGCATGCGTCAAGAAGGAAAGGGACATATATATCATAATATCTGGTTTGTAATTAAAAAAAATATATAAAAAAAATCTAAAGGTTAAAATGGTAATTATGGTAAGGTAATGTACTTTAAAGCTGCTTCGCGACACTGCTCTGCCACGTCATCAAAGATGCAAATAGCAATTCGTCTCTCTTCTGTTGTCTTATCCTTGCCCTTGAAAACATTAAAAATAATAAATCTTATTGCTTTAAAAAAATGTATAATCAAAATTTTTAAAAAAAATGAAATTTGGATACTCAATAGTCAATACTTACCCACATGGGCATTATATAAGATGATAACTCATCAAAGAAAGGTAAAAAGGAAGCTTTAAATGTTTTCACCAAAGTTCCCAAAATTTCACCAACCTGTTATAACAAAAAATAGTAAAAAAGATAACGTTTTATAAGATTCATGTCAATAGTAAAAATAAAAAAAAAAAGGTTATTTATTGGGGAAAAAGAAAAGTCAACAGACTTGGTCAAAGACTTCTTCTTCTTGCTCATTTTCTTCTTTAAGAAGCTCTCCTTCTTCTGCATCAAAATCTTCAGCATTTGTCCTTTCAGCTCTTTCTTTTTTTCTGCTTGAACTTGCTGTAATCACCTGTTTTATTTCATCAACAATGCTTCTCACTTGATTTTCATCTAAAACTTGTCCAGAAATCTGAAAAAAAAAAAAAACAAACAAACAAACAAATGTCAAAAATTGAAAAAATCATAAATCTAATGTGTAAACAAAATAAAGAAATTGATTATTGACCCAACCTGTAGACATTCATTCAAAGCATCCAACATATTTGCACAAATTTCTGTATCAGGCTCCTGAAAAAAGAATAAGTAAAGTTTGTGAAACTAGTCTATATAAAGTACTTAAAAGGGCATAAATGGAATTAATTTATTTATAGTATAATACTATAAGAAAATAACAATCACCTTATGTAAAGCTTCAACTAAAGCTGGAACTATATAGTCAGAAAGTTGTTTTATATAAGATCCATCACGACCCTGTGCAAGCCCTTTCTCTATTGCTAATTTAGCAGACCTTAAAAGCTCAGGCATTGCTGAAAAATAAAAAAAAGTAAGTATTTTTTTATTAAAATTTGTAATGTTAATTGTGAATTTGTGATTAGTATAGACAATAAACACAATCAAACCTGAAACAGATGCTTTTCGAACTTCTTCATGAAAGTAGAATTTGAGAAGGGGTACTAATGTAGGGGCAACCTGGTCAATTCACACATCAAGAACTCCATAAGCTAAGATAATAGAAAATAAGCAATTACAATTTATAAATATTATGAAAGATGACTAACTTGGTCAATCCATGGGTAAAATCCCTCTTTCAATTCATCTGCATAACAACATAACATATTGCAAGCTGTAGCTTTTTCCTCAAGGACACTAGTTTTTATTCCTATTCTTTTATCACCAAGTGTAATTGTCTCCATACTGCAGAATCATATGGAAAAAACCATAAAATATTAGTCATATGACATTACAAATTTGTTAGATTAATATAATTTGATACCTTTCATCATCAGATTCAATTTCATCATCTGAATCAGCAGATGTGATGATGACATCAGGTTTAAGTTGAGCTGATTGAAGCAATGGAGGCATAACTACACTCATATAAGGAAGAAAATCCTGTCCTAAACACTTGCATAATCTTGCCCATGCCTATTAAATATTAATATTAATATTAAATATATAATATATTGAATGTGTTTGTGTTGGAGAAAAATTCGAATAACATTTACTTGAAGCATGTAACTTGTGGTGGGGTCATCATTTTCCATTTGAGTTCCTTGTAGTGACATGAGAACTTCCATCACCTTGAAACCATTTTCAAGATTATTAGAAACTTTGAAATTACTAAATAGGAGTATTCAGTGGTGTGTATTTTATCATTTATGATGAAAAGTGTGAAAGGTTTACCTGTTTTGCATCATCTCTGAATTTTTCTTTTCCAACAGCCATTCCAACAAGACTAATGCATTCCATAGCTTTGGCTCGAAGCATGCGATTAGCTTTATCATTTGCATTTACTAATATGGCTTTTAAGTAGGGCATAACTGCATCATAGTACTTTTGGAAGTGTTCCTATTAAAAGCAACAAGCACCAGATGAGGGATTTGAAAAGTTTATAGATAAGGGTTGTTGTTATATTTCATTATTTTGATTATCTTGATTCTTGACTTACCTGTGATGAATCAGCAACTGATGCTAGAGCAGTTAAGGCCCCTTCTTGTACCATTTGCTTACCATTCTGCATAAGAAAGAAGAATGAACACTTTGTAAACAGAATGAATAAAAGATATAATAAGGTGTCTGAATTTTGTTACCTGTAGTAGTACAAGCAATTTGCTCACTATTCCATCAAGGTAAGGCGTTAGAATATCAGGTGTGCAATTCTCACTGAAATTTAACACGGCTGAAGCAGCATGGGCTTGAACTCGAGGATTCTGGAAGTCATCCATGGCTGAAGCTAATGCTGGAAGAACACGTTGGTGGTACTGAACTTGCAAGTCTGGGCCTAAATCTGTAGACAACTGCCCAATTGCATTGATAGCAGCCCATCTCACACGTGGGTGAGGATCTTGAAATGAGTTTAGAACCATTGTCACCACTTGTTCCAAGTTTTTTATCATCACCTACAGAACTCAGTAAGAAAGTCAAACTTTGTGGAAGTTGCTTTGGTTTCTAATAAACACAATATTAGAAAACAAGAGCATGTATAGGCATAGAGTTATATTGCATTAATGATCAGACTTGGACTGAGAATCTGTGAGATGACTACCTTTGAGCATCCCTCAGCAATTTGTGCAAGAGCAACAAGAGCAGCATGATGTTTCTGCCACTCAGGTGCAGCCAAGTATGCAGGCAACTGTTCAGATGCAACAGGGACAATGGTATTCCCACCCAAAGCAATAGCCAACCGATCCAAACACTCCTGTCCAACACTATAATTACTAGACTCCCCAGCATCCTCATCCTCATTTTCAGCAGAATGCCAAGCAGGTTCATCTTCAATGTCGAGCAACATTTGCATCAGGATGGCAAACAACCTACTGATAAACTGCGGCAGCTTCCTCATCATCCCGGGTGCCCTTTCTCTCGCCTCTGCAAGTGTGATCACAAACTCAATTGCCAGGTGTCTAGTTCCTTCCTCCAGAGTCTCAGCTTCAGCAATCTGCAACATAGATCCTACCACCTCCACTAACTGCCTCCTCAAGAACCTCGGTTCTATCCCAGCCAATTCAATCAACAACTCCAATGCCTCTTGAGCAGTAGCCTCTTGCCCTCCGTTCAATGCTTCTGTCAGCGTCCGCATCATTGCTGGAAGCAAATCCTGGAACCGATCTCTGTCGCCGGAACTAGACAAGCACTGGATAAAATTAATCACCGCACTCAAAGCAGCAATCCTCACATCTGAGCTCGCTGATGTAGTCAAACACTGCAGAAACACGCCATGAAGGTGCTTTATGTGTGGGACTAAAGTGTCCCCAACGTACTGCGACAACTGCGCAAAGATCAAGAACGCGGACTCCTGAAGCTTCGGCGAATCGGAGGAAACACACTGAAACATAAACGGCAAAAGCTCCGGCCAACCGTTTTCAGGCAGAATACTCGCACCTAATTCCGAAATCGTATCACATAGCTTCTTCATTATCGTCTTCGCTTCCTCATTCTGCACACAAGTCAACAGAATCGATTTAAGTGAAGACTGAGTCGCCGGAGATAACATATTCCACATCAACGAATCATCCTGAGTCAACTGTTTCCGCAATAGAATTGCTGACATAGCACGAGCTTCCATGTGAGGAGATAGCTGTAGCAATTGAGCGAGTTTGAGAACGAGCGTGTTCGGATCCGTTTGTTTGCATAAATTGAATAGAAGTTCAGCTTGCGATCGCTGCTCATTCGATGAAGACATGAGATGAGATATTAGAGTTTCGAAAGGCGCAGGATCCGCCCCAAGGATCGCTGCCAATTGTGCTTGCTGAACCTGAGGATCCATCGGCACAAAACAATCAGAACAACAAAGCGATGACGATGATGAGTGCCGACGGAGATCGGCGGTGGTTTATGCGTGAAAACACACACAAACACACACTCTGTGTATTAATTTGAAGTGGCAATGATGATTGGAATGGGGGCGGGGGAGTTATTAGGGCAATGAGACAGATATAGCAGAAACATTTGAGGCAAGAAAAGAAAAAGTATTTTTTATACTCGAATATCAGAGGGAAAATGTAGGATGACGTAAGCAAAAAGACGTGGATCCATGGCCCAAGAAAGTGCTTTGTCTTTTGGGCTAAACCCGAAAAGATGTGGAATCCGATGGAATCAAAAAAATCAAATAATCAATTATCAATCTAAGAAATCAAACCTAATCTTTGAAAGATGGTTTTTCTTTTTGAAACATGATTTGCTTAAAGTTTAAATCTTTTTGAAGATACTTATGTTAAGATTTTATAATTTTAGTTTATTGTTGCATTCCACCATGAATCGTAAAAGGTGACACAACAAACATAAAGAAGTAAGGATCAATTTGTAGTTTCATATTGTAATAAATAATTTTATTTGTATCTTTCTTTAATCTACAAGATCAATATATTACTAACCTATTGTTGTTATCTCTAAATATTATTAAAAGAGAACCTTTAATTAATCGATGAAGCAATCAGCGTCTTTGATTGTATTTCAATCCTATGATTTCCACCATTAGATCAAATTGCAGACATCATCTTCCCAAAATATAATCCAAACATTTAATTATAAAATCTTTAAATTTAGCAATTATATTTCAAACACAATTACATTTAATTATAAAATCTTTAATTATAGAATCTATCCATACTTTCTAAAATATATTTCACAATTCGAGCACAATTACATTTAATTATAGAATCTTTAAAATCAGCAATTATGTTATCGATTAAAGCATATCATTCTATTTATATATAATATATCAGTTTCTCCATAAATCTGGCCAAAAAAACATGAATAGCCGCCCCATCTTTCTCCTCTATTTTTCTCTCTTAAACCATAATTCTCTAATACTCTTCGTCCTCATGTCAATTGTTGTGCTTCAATTGATGCTTTGTGTGTTCATAACAGAATGTAGCACCATAAGGTGGTTCCTTTTTGCGCATGTATTCTTAGAATTTGTGTATTGCCTCTTCCTTGCATCTTTAATTATCACACCTCTGTTTTGGCTTCACACAAATCTCTATAAAATGAAGCATGCATCTCCTTCAAGACATCTTTTGACAGTCTATGTCATCATTAACCCTAATTAATATTGTCCATAATTTAACTCCCTTATTTATAGCTTTTCGCTTCAAAATTCAAACTCGTTTAGTTTTTTCTTTTTTAAAAAAGTCATTAAATAAGCATACTAATAATTATGTTATCTTTAGTATATATTAAAATAAAAATCTTATGACACCATCTTAAACAATCTGAGCCCTTGATTGTATTTCAATCCTATGTTTTTCACCATTAGATTGCTGACATCATCATTCCAAAATGGAATGTATTTAATTCCAATAAGAGTTTTCCACAAAATTAACTTAAATCCATTGAAATGGATTGTATTTAATTCTAATAAAAGATTCCCAAATTTTAAATATTGAAGTTTTGGTTATCAAGGTTTTAAAATGGTCAACTTTAAAAACATATTACTAAAAATCATTTCAATTAAGGCATGAAATATCAACCATTAATATAAATCCGTTTATATTAGTAAACCATTAATATAAAATCCATTTTTATTAGGAAACCATTAATACCAAAAAATCAGATTCAAATTATCACATTCATTTTCAATCGTTGTTTTTCTTCAAACCTTCTCCTACAACATCATTCTTATTGCTTATAACTTTCATCATCATTCTCTGCTTCAAACCTTCGTTGTTGTGCACTATAAGGTCAGTACCTTCTTTCGCTTTTTTATATTTTTTTTCGATTATTTTTTTGTTCCCGTATCAAATATATGTATTCATATATTTTGATTTTCTTTGTCACAAATTACATGATATCGGTTAACTATTTTTCTGAAACTTTTCAAACAAATATGAAAATATATTACATACCTTTAGTCCAGAAAAAATAATAATGTTATTTGATGGAAACAAGTTAAAACACAATATAGCAAAGTACTTTGATGGAATGACAAATACTTCCCACCCGTTTTCCTGTTCATTGTAATCAATTTTTTTGTGTATTCGTTTAGCTTGATACTTCCATTTTTTATCCGTAAATCATTAATTTAGTATGTACAATGTTCATCAGAATGGTAAATCGGTAATTTAATTTAAACATTGGTCAAATCATGAGCTGCTGCTATTTTTGTTTGTTTGATTACCTCAACCTGGTTACTGTTTTTTATTGTATATAATATCTTAAATTCCTGGCTGAATTACAGGGATTGCAATATTAATATAGAACTCAAATAATCTGTTATGATAAATATATGGTAATACCGAATGGAAAATGGAGGATAATGGTATAATAGGAATAAAGAGATAATAAAAAAAATAATATAAAGTAACATAAAAAAATTAATATCATTAAACAAAATAAAATGATTCTTTTTGCATGATACTTCCAGTTTTTATCCGAATGCTAAATCATTAATTTAATATGGACAATGTTCATCAGAATGGTAAATCGGTAATTTAATTTAAAATGGATCAAATCGGTTGTTGCTACTATTTCTGTTTGTTTGATTATCTCAACTTGGTTACTATTTCTGACTTTATTGTCGAATATAATAATTTCATATTATACCATTTTTAGGAATGTACTTTTAAAGTACATTGTTATATCATTTTTAACAATAACATGTTGCGATTTTTTCATGTTTTAAATGTCTCTTTTAATTTATCTTTTATTCACTATTAAGGGGATGAATTCTATAAAAAAAATTAATCTAGAAAGGGTTAAACTATAATTATTCTAATTTGTATATATTTTTGTACAGTAAATACAACCATTCAAAGATTGTTTTCTATGACTAACAAAATTATGTTTCTATTTTTGAAATCTCATAAAACATTACATAAGGTTTTTTTTGGCTGAACATATTACATCATTCAGTCTAGATTAAGTCGACAAAACAACAATGTATAACTTTTAATATTAGATGTGTAACCTATTAACTTGGACTCGATACTCAACAATCTCTACAAACTGCAATAACTATGTAGTTTTTTTTTACAAATTATAGCAACATATATACTTACCATGAAAAAAAACTTTTAAATTTAAAATAAAACTTAGTTTTTACCGATAACAACAATATACAACACTTAATATCAACATCCTTACCAGTTTCTCTAAATATTAATACATTAACTATATCAAAAGTAGGCTAAGAAGTTATAATCTAAATTAAGAATGATCTTATTTCCTTGAATATCAAATTTACGGTATTATAGACAAATTTTTTATTTGATTCTTAAATTTTATATGTGGTCGTATTTATATGGTAGAATCAAATTGTATAATTACAATTAACATTTGTTTATTAAACTCTGTATGTAGGTATGAAACAATAATAAGTATATTTTTGAAGGAACATTGTTCAAAATAATTTACATAATCTAAATACATGTTAATTTAGTTCATTTCCTACACTTTCCTGTAAGATTGGATTTTTTTTTTTGTCATGTTACATTCAAAAGATGAGTTATTAGAACAGGCACTTTAGGTGTTTGACGAAATGTCTCAAAGAATCTGACACAAGTTCTTTACACTCACCTCACAACCTTGTATAAATTTTGGTTTTTTTTTCTAGATTTTTAGCATCATATGTTTTTGTTGTTTGCAACTTTGTAGTGTTACATGTTTTTTTGTCTTGTCCTCAGGTTTTATTATCTCTGATATGATTCATTTTTTATATTTATTGTAAACTATCAATTCAATTTATTGCACTTTGTTATGACTTTTATCAACGTTATACGATTCTAATTAATTGTCCATTTCTTGATCTTTTAGAAAAAGATATTCTAATTGTATTACCATCTACGACTGTGGTATTCTATTTTGTTGATTAAGCGATCTATGATTTGGCTATGATGGTTTTTACGGATTATGTTTGGCCTGATAATTGTTTCTGTCATCAAAAAATACATCCAACAAAAAATGAAAGACGATTTTTTTTAATTAATACAATCATCTAACTATAAATGATATTTTTTCAACTTTGATGGCATGTAACAGAGTTTTGGTTGAAAATTTTAATTTTTCGGCGTATAACAGGTTATGACTTAAATAATGATATTAGATATTTTGGCAATAAGGTTTTCTTCGGTTCTTAAATTATTTTTGTAGAAAGTAGTCCAATTTGGTATTATTGATCTCACAAAAGGCAAGTCTCATGTCTTTTTTAGCGTATCCATTGAGTTTAGAAGTTTCTTGTCTATATTTGTTTTAAAAAAATGTTAAATCTTGATTTAATGAATGTAAGTCAGCAAATAGTAAATGTGCAAGAAGAGCAAAGTATTAAATATGAGATGATCATGGCTATGTCAAGCCAAAATAAAATTCTAAAGTAAGAAGTGATAAATTCAAAAGGTAAGAACTTGTAATGCAGAATACATATTATGCTTCCCAAATAAATAACCAAAAACTAACCTCTTCGTATCATAATAACAAGTACGTTATGTGCCAATTATGTATTTTGACATTTTCAATGAGTCACGGGTAATATATAAATCAAGCAAACATAACTGTTTTTATATTTATTGGTTGGAGTTTCTTTATATTTAATATTGGGGGGGGGGGGGGGGGGTTATGTGGCTCATTTCAAATGAACATAAATAAGTTGCTATTTTTTGAAATAAACAATTATATTTCACAATATAACCATAAAATAACAATGTATTTTGAAAGTACATTGTCAAATGTTGGATTATACTTGCGTAGACCCGTTTTCGGGCATGGTCAACTATATGTAGTTGTTTCCCGTGTCACAAGTAAAAAAGGTTTGAAGTTACTTTGTGACGAGGAAGGTCGTTCAACTAATAAAAAAATATTGTCTACAAAGAGGTTCTTCAATGACTATATATATTTGTCCATTTCAGTGTATGTGGCTCATTTCAAATGAACATAAATAAGTTGCTATTTTTTGAAATAAACAAGTATATTTCACAATATAACCATAAAATAACAATGTATTTTGAAAGTACA